CGAGAACAGATTGGACCAGGCCTGATCCAAACAAGATCAGATCCAGGCTGGATCAGACCAGACCAGATCTAGGCAAGATCAGATCCAGGCCGGATCAGACCAGACCAGACCCCGACGAGAACAGATCCGCGACCGGATCAGGCAAGACCAGACTAGATCATACAGACCGGATCAGGCAAGATCAGACTAGATCATACATGACCAGATCAGGCGAGACTGGATCAGATCGGACCGGACCACACCTGGCCAGACCAGATCAGATCAGACTTGACCCAGTTCAGACCGAACCAGATCAGACCAGACCCGGAACAGACCGGACTAGATGAGACCAGACCAGATCCAAACCAGACTCGGACAAGACCAAATGGGACCAGACTCAGACCAGTCTCGGACCAGACCACATGAGACCAGACTCATAGTGACTGGATCAGACCGCATCAGATCTGAACAGACCAGACTGGGCCAGGCCTGATTTGACCAAACCGGTTCAGACCCAGATCAGGCTCAGACCAGTTCGGACCCAGTTAAGTTTCAGATCTGTATAGACCAGTTCAGATCAGACCTGAAGACATCTTAGCAGACCAGACCAGGCTCGGACGAGACCGGATGGACCAGACTCAGACAGACCAGATGAGACCAGACCAGACCAGGCCCGAAGAGGATCGGAACAGACCGGGCAAGCTCATATCAGACCAGATTAGACCGGATTCGGACCAGACCAAGATCAGATCAGACTAGCTCAAGTCAGACCAGATCCGGATCAGATCAGACCAGACCAAATGAGACGGGATTCGGACCACACCAGATGAAACCGGACACAGACCAGACAAGACCAGGCTCGGGACAGACCGGGCAAGATCATACCAGACCAGATCTGATCCGGGCCAGACCAGATTGGATCAGACCGGACAATTTTTTTAACGGACCTCAAGACGGAGCCCCAGACTCAGATTAAGAAACGGGCCTCAACGGACCGCGATGCTACTTAGGACTAGAGGGCCTCAACAAGACCCTTGGGACCGACGGGGCGGTACCGTGGCCGACACCACCCCATTGGTCGCGAGGTCCAGTGGAGGACTCCGACTTGATCAGGCTAGACACAGACGGGAACCCCGGACCGACGGGAGGGAGTTTGCTCTGAGAGAGGGTGTGGCGCGTCTGCGGTGAACTTTATTGACTGAATAAAACAATCCCCTCGTTCTTTCTGCATTTTTGCGAGTCGTCCAAGTTCACACCTTGTTTTCATATCTGACTCAATGGTGGATCTTGCAGGTTACAGGAGCCCCGACCAACCCTCCCGCGGGTGACAGACGCGGCGTGAGGTATAGGGTTGGACGGCGTGCCGGCAGACTCCTTCTACCGGTCGACATCGGCCTCCGGGGTTTCCTTGACCCTCTTGAGAAGGTCGCTATAGATAGGGTCTTGTGCATACGTGTTTCTAACCTTTTGCTGCAGGTCTCTCCCTATGTCCAGAGAGCGAACTATTGCCCCGAAGTAGTCGGCTTTCCTACTCAGAGCATCCGCAACTACGTTATACTTCTCTTTGACTGGCTTGAGCTCGAAATCATACTGGTCTAACTTTGCAGCCCACCTAGTCAACTTAGGTGTCATCTTGGTCTTCGTCTTCAACCACCTTAACGTCTCATGGTCTGAGTAGACTTTAAAGTGCCTCCCAAGCAAGTAGTGCTTCCAATGTTCTAGATTTTGCCTGAGAGCGTAGAGTTCCCTCTCATAGGTAGATGTTGCTACCTTCTCTGAAGGCATCCTAGCAGACATGAACTCTAAGGGCCTATATCCATGGCCATCGTCTTGCTGTAGTACAGCACCTATGCCGTACTAGCTCGCGTCAGTCGTGACGACGAAAGGTAAGGACGAATCGGCTACCTTAAGGACCGGATACTCTAGATCGCTTCTTGCTTCAGCAACCCGCGAAGGGGTCAGCGATGGTGGAGAAGTTCCTCACGAATTTCCTATAGAAGTTGGCTAGGCCTAGGAACGACCGCAATTCTGTCAACGTGCGGGGTGTAGGCCAATCTCTAATCGCTGCGATCTTGCTGTCTTCGGGTTTGATGCCGTCTCCGTCTAAGACATGGCCTAGATACCATACTTGGGTCTTCGCCCACTCGCACTTCTTCGCATTGATCTTGAAGTTAGCTTCTCTTAGCTTCTCCAAGACCTGCCTCAGATGACCCTAATGCTCTTGGAGGGTCTTACTACATAATAGAATATCGTCTAGGTAAACTACTACAAACCTATCTAACCACGACCTGAACAAGTCGTTCATACAACGCTGAAAAGTCGCTGGCGCATTGGTTAGTCCAAAGGGCATCACTATAAACTCGTAATGCCCATATCTAGTCCGAAAAGTTGTCTTGTACTGATCATCAGGGTGGACCTCTATCTGATGATACCCGGACTTCAAATCTATTTTCGAGAAATATTTGCACCCCTGCACTCTAAGAGATCGTCTATCCTGGGCAGTGGCTCAACATTCTTCACGGTGATTGCGTTCTATGCACATCCTAAGCTCTCCCTCCTTCTTGGGGACAAATAGAACAGGTGCTCCAAAGGGAGACGAACTGGATCTAATCCAACCCTTCTCTAGGAACTCGTCTAATTGCTTGCGCAACTCCTCCAACTCCCGCAGGGACATCCTATACACTGCTCCCTTGGGAGTTCTACTGCCAGGCTCTATCTCAATGCGATGCTGGATAGGCCGCGGTACTACTCCTGTCGACAGCTTTGCTAAGTCTGTGAACTCTTCCAGCAGCTTGGCAATAGCAGGGTCTATAGGCTTCTCCTCCTTAGGCTCAGTCACTGGCCTAACATAGGCTACGAAAACCTGTTCCTCTAGCTACTCCTTCTTTACTAACCTTGCGAACGCAGGAGCACTGAGACAACAGTGTGCCAAGGAGTTGTTTACCACAGACACATGAAACAGACGGGCAGTCTTGATTCCGCCTGATGGACTAGGGAGCCTACACTCATGCTCTCTCAAATGGAGTGTGTCCCTTGCTGCCTCTCCCCAGTCCATACCTAGGACTATATCGAAAGGAAGGCTATCTTCTACGAGGAGAGTCAGGGAATGGATAACTTTCTCCACCTTCCCATCTTTCTCTAGGCGAAAGTACGCCTGGACTCCTTCTACATAATCCTTGACTCGCATCGTGCGATTATCTGCGATGATACTTACTATGGGGTCTGCTAGCTTTTGGACTTTAATCCCAACTTCAACTTCTGCAGCGCCTTCCTACTAATATAGCTGTGGGTGGCCCCACTGTCTACGAGGGCCCCTACTCTGCCTCTAAAAATCTCTACATCTACCAAGACTAGCTGTCCTCTACTCTCCTTCTTCATCTTGGCCCAGGTGGGCATTCTCTCCTTCAACTCATCGGCCACGCCTGTGAGGGAAGTGCCTAATGAGACTCTGACACAAGCAGTCTTTGGACAGCTATTTAGGCACCGACCTGCAACCTCTGCCGTACCGTAGGCACATGTGGAGTGGGAGTTTCCTGCCGGCTCGCGCTCGTTTCCCCACATGGCCTTATGGTAGGGGCAATTGCTACCCCTACCGGCGGCTGCCTTTTGAGCCCTGGGCAGCCGAACGGACCTCTCTATACTTTGGACGATATTTGATGATGTGGCCAGGGTTACTGCGGTAGATGCACTGCCCCTGGTCCACACGTTGTTGCCATACGCGCTGGTTCAGGCCCAAATCTTCCCAAGGCCTACCCTGTGGCAGACCTGGGTGCCATCCTCCTCTCCTATAGGATGATCTGTTACCCCTATTAGGCGACCTATTCCCAAAACGGTTTTGCGGGGGACCTTGACCCCTGCCTCCCTCTTGGCGGTTTCCTCTACCGCCAACCCCCTGAAAGCCCTGGGTACGACCACCTGAGGCCCGGCCTCCTTGGCCCTGGCCTCTACCTCCTCCTTCCGGCCTCCCCTGGCTCACACCACTGTCCTCCTCCTCTAGCCCCCACTCAATTTGCTCATAGGGGACTTCGTCAACACTACCCTCATCTAACGTAAGGATCAAGCGATCCTTGGTCTCAACCTGTCCTGAGATAGTGTGACCTTTCCACTTTTTCCCCTTGTCCAGGTCCTTGTGCCAGAAAGTGGAAACTGACATGGACCGCGCTTCAAATGCCACCACTTCCCTACTCAATGCATCATAGGTCAAGGGTGGACTGTTGGCTCTTCTCAAAGAAGTGCCCGCGCAACGATTCGGGCATAGCCCGGTAGAAGAGGTTGACCAACTGGGTCTCTGTGACCCCGTGGTCAGGGACTGCAAGTAACTCGTCCATAACGCCTTTGAGTGCCTTGGCACTCTTCCACTGACGAGAGTGGATGGTTTGCAGCCTGTCGGAAGCTTTGACGCTGTGCGAAACGTCTGCAAATCCTTCGCGCAATAATTTAAGGAAATCGGCGAGGGGAGTAAACGCATAATAAGCGACTAGATCATCATTGCAATTAGCAGTGCAAACCAGAGAACGGGCGAAACAAGCGGCTTCCTCCTTCAGGGATTGGATAACTATTAGAACATGCTCATCTGGGGAGACCTTTTGCAAATGCACGTAGGTCTTAACATTGGCCTCCCAATTGTCAAAGTTTTCCTCCTTCTTCCCGCTGTAGGAATCGGGAAACTTGACTTTGACAGACTCCCTATGGGGACGTACTTCCTCCTCTTTGGGAGCGGTCAGTCTGGCGCCTTCTATGGCGCCGGTGCAGTATCGTTCTGTGCCTTCTAGGCGGGTCAATACTTTGGAACCCACCTGAGTCGCCAATTCTCGTGCAAAGTCCCTGAGTCCCAATTGGATTGAACGCGCGACAATGTCTTGACTTCTACCAAATAAAAATTGTTCTTCCTGGACTTGTGCCAGGCCTTCTATGTTTCTCGCCATAATTTTAATCTTTCCCAATAAATTCACCTGCATCGCCATTTGGTCTCTCTCCTTCTTTATCTCCTCCAATTCCCTCGCCGCCTGGCTCGCCGCCTCCATCCTTCTTTTCCTTTCCCTTGTTAGACGAAACTTCCACTCCATCCTTTTCTCATCTTCCAAAACTTGCCGCTTGAGTGGATCTTCTTCAACATCCCACTCTTTCACGGCCGCCTCCTGTTCTTCCCTGGGCACATACATTAGGGCCTCCTCATCTTCTCCCAGGGATAATCCAGCAACCCACTCTGTAATTTTCTTCTCCATTTGATCCTCTTTTGTGCCACTGGGTTCACCTCGTCCTCCTGCCCTTCGCCTTTCCAGTGGTTGTTCTTCCTCCTCTTCCTCCTCTTCTACCGCCTTGAGCTTCGCTTCCTCTTCTCTCTTTAGCCTCTCCTTCTCTCTGGCCATCTTCTGTTCAATCTTCTTCAACTTCGCCGCCTGTTCCTCTATCAAGGCTTCTTCTTGGCCTCCTTCTCTCTTCTCTCTTTTAGGATGGCGGCGGCCTTTGCCTCCTCTTCTGCTGTATAAGGGGAGGTACTCTTTCCAGTACGCGTGTCAACCATGGTGATAGGTGCACAACCAAGTAACGGTTCCGCTCCTCACCACTTAGACATCCCCCCCTGACTGACCTCACTTAAGACTGACTCTCTATGGTCCACATAATCCTACCCTTCGTTCCAGCCAGATTACCACGGCCGACGGAAGCTTTCACAACCACAGTCCTTGCAATCCGACCCAGATGCCCAGCACCTGCGGTCAAACCCACCTGGCTTTCACTCCGGTTCAGATCATGTCAACTAGGGGCACTAGCCTAGACTCTAAACTACAGCCGTCACTACAAAGCCTGTTGCTGATAAGGAGGCACTTAAGGAGATCCCCCATAACTCCTCAAGAATTCTTTAACATCGCAGACAGGACGACGCGATCAGCAGGTTCTCTCAAGACGTAGACGGCCTGTTGTGCAGCCCACAGCTCGGATTTCCGGCCTACCGTGCCACACCAAGCAGCCCGCCGGTCAGTACCGACTTGGGAGGGTTCGTGTCCTCCGGGACAGTCGAGTCGTCAGACACAGTCTTTAGCCCTACTCAGCCCGGCAGGGGTTTGGTCAACGAGGCCCTATCCTTCATACACGGAGTCCTATCACCTGGACAAAAGAGACTCAATGCAGAAAGAAGAGACAGACAGACTCAGCAAGTACCATAGGGTGAGTGCACATCCATAGGGCGAGGGGATAGGCTAAGGGCTTGGGGAGATTATACCAGCTCCAGCTTGGTCAAAGTCGTGGTCAGCAGCTCCGGTCAACGCCTTGGTCAACGCTCTGGTCAACGCCCGGTCAACCCTCTGGTCAACGCCCAGTCAACCCTCTGGTCAACACGCAGTCAACCCTCTGTCGGCTATGGCTGTCGGCACCTTCTTCCTCGCCAACCTTCACTCTCCTTCCCCCTCCTTCGCCTGTCTTCTTCCTCCTTTTCTCACCTTTTTTTTTTTTTTTTTTTTTTTTTTTTTTTTTTTTTTTGTTCGCCCTTGGCTATGTCTGTCTCCAACTTCGTTATCCTTTCTTCCTCCTCCCTCTGCGATCTCTCCTCCCTTCTCTGCTTCACCTTCCTCTCTCCTCCGTGTCCCGAGCTCCGCGGCTACGGCCGCGACTCTGTCGTGGACCGCACAACCAATCTTGGATCACTCAACTCTCTCTCTCTCCTCGATGATGTCTTCAGCGCAGGTGTGTGATAAACCAATCTTGTATCGCTCAATTCTCTCTCTCTCTCTCTCTCTCTCTCTCTCTCTCTCTCTCTCTCTCTCTCT